ACACAGCAGAACAGGAAGGGGAACAACTGGCAGGGGAACAGCAGCACAGAAGAACAGGAAGGGACAGCAACACAGCAGAACAGGAAGGGGAACAGCAACACAGCAGAACAAGGGAAGGGGAACAGTAGCACAGCAGAACAGGAAGGGGAACAACAACACAGCAGAACAGGAGGGCAGTAACACAGCAGAACAAGGAAGGGGAACAGCAACACAGCAGAACAGGAAGGGGAACAGCAACACAGCAAGAACAGGAAGGGGAAACAGCAGCACAACCAGAACAGGAAGGGAACAGTAGCACAGCAGAACAGGAGGGAACAGTAGCACAGCAGAACAGGAAGGGGAACAGCAACACAGCAGAACAGGAGGGAACAGTAGCACAACAGAACAGGAAGGGGAACAACAGCACAGAAGAACATGAAGGGGAACAACACAGAAGAACAGGAAGGGGCAGCAGCACAGAAGGCAGGAAGGGGAACAGTAGCACAGAAGAAGAAGAACATGAAGGGAACAGCAACACAGCAGAGAGCAGGAAGGGGTATAGCACAGAGAAGGAACATGGAGGAGACAGCAACACAGAGGAAGAGGAACAGATGGCAAGAGAAGAACATGAAGGGGAACAGCAACACAGCAGAACAGGAAGGGAACAGCAGCACAGAAGAACATGAAGGGGAACAGTAGCACAGAAAGAACATGAAGGGGAACAGCAGCACAGCAGAACAGGAAGGAACAGCAACACAGCAGAACAGGAAGGGGAACAGCAGCACAGATGAACAGGAAAGAACAGTAGCACAGCAAGAACAGGAAGGGAACAGTAGCACAGCAGAACAGGAAGGGGAACAGTAGCACAGCAGAACAGGAAGGGGAACAGTAGCACAGCAGAACAGGAAGGGGAACAATGTAGCACAACAGAACAGAAAGGGGAACAGTAGCACAGCAGAACAGGAAGGGGAACAGTAGCACAGATGAACAGGAAAGGGAACAGCAGCTGTGAGATGAACAGGAAGGGGAACAGTAGCACAGTAGAACAGGAAGGGAACAGCACATGAATGAACAGGAAGGAACAGTAGCACAGCAGAACAGGAAGGGGAACAGTAGAACAGCAGAACAGGAAGGGGAACGGTAGCACAGCAGAACAGGAAGGGGAAAAAGTAGCACAGATGAACAAGAAGGGGAACAGCACAGATGAACAGGAAGGGACAGTAGCACAGATGAACAGGAAGGAAGAAATAGCACAGATGAACAGGAAGGGGAACAGTAGCACAGCAGAACAGGAAGGGGAACAGTAGCACAGATGAACAGGAAGGAACAGTAGCACAGATGAACAGGAAGGGGAACAGCAGCACAGATGAACAGGAAGGGGAACAGTAGCACAGTAGAACAGGAAGGGGAACAGTAGCACAGCAGAACAGGAAGGGGAACAGTAGCACAGCAGAACAGGAAGGGGAACAGTAGCACAGGATGAAGAGGAAGGGGAACAGCAGCACAGATGAACAGGAAGGGGAACAGTAGCACAGCAGAACAGGAAGGGAACAATGCTGAAAAAGCAGAGAACAGGAAGGGGAACAGCAGCACAAATGAACAGGAAGGGGAACAGCAGCACAGATGAACAGGAAAGGGAAAAGTAGCACAGATGAACAGGAAAGGAAGAAATGGCACAGATAAACAGGAAGGGGAACAGTAGCACAGATGAACAGGAAGGGGAACAGTAGCACAGTAGAACAGGAGAGGAACAGTAGCACAGATGAACAGGAAGGGAACAGCAGCACAGATGAACAGGAAGGGAACAGTGTAAAGATGAACAGGAAGGGGAACAGTAACACAGATGAACAGGAAAGGGAAAAAGCAGCACAGATGAACAGGAAGAGGGAACAGTAGCACAGATGAACAGGAAGGGGAACAGTAGCACAGATGAACAGGAAGGGGAACAGTAGCACAGAAAGAACAGGAAGGGGAACAGTAGCAAAGATGTAGGAAATGGAAAAGCAGCACAGATGAACAGGAAAGGGAACAATGCACATATGAACAAGGAAGAGACAGTAGCAAAGATGAACAGGAAGGGGAAACAGTAGCACAGATGAACAGGAAGGGAACAATGCACAGCAGAACAGGAAGGGGGAACAGTAGCACAGATGAACAGGAAAGGGAAAAAAGCAGCACAGATGAACAGGAAAGGGAACAGTAGCACAGATGAACAGGAAGGGAACAGTAGCACAGATGAACAGGAAAGGAAAAGCAGCACAGATGAACAGGAAAGGAACAGTAGCACAGCAGAACAGGAAGGGAACAGTAGCACAGATGAACAGGAAGGAAAAGCAGCACAGATGAACAGGAAGGGGAACAGTAGCACAGCAGAACAGGAAGGGACAGTAGCACAGATGAACAGGAAAGGGAACAGCACAGATGAACAGGAAGGGAACAGTATGAATGAACAGGAGAGGAACAGTAGCACAGATGAACAGGAAGGGGAACAGTAGCACAGATGAACAGGAAGGGGAACAGTAGCACAGCAGAACAGGAAGAGACAGTAGCACAGATGAACAGGAAGGGAACAGTAGCAAAGATGAATAGGAAGGGGAACAGTAGCACAGATGAACAGGAAGGGGAACAGCACCGATGAACAGTAAGGAACAGTAACAAGATGAACAGGAAGGGGAACAGTGCACAGATGAACAGGAAAGGGAAAAGCAGCACAGATGAACAGGAAAGGGAACAGTAGCACAGATGAACAGGAAGGGGAACAGTAGCACAGATGAACAGGACGGGGAACAGTAGCACAGGAGAACAGGAAGGGAAACAGTAGCCCAGATGAACAGGAAGGGGAACAGTAGCACAGCAGAACAGGAAGGGGAACAGTAGCACAGATGAAGAGGAAGGGGAACAGTAGCACAGCAGAACAGGAAGAGGAACAGCAGCTCAGCAGAACAGGAAGAGGAACAGCAGCTCAGCAGAACAGGAAGAGGAACAGCAACACAACAGAAAGGGGAACAGCAACACAACAGAACAGGAACAGAAACACAACAGAACAGGAATAGGAACAGCAACACATCAGAACCAAGAACAAGAAGGGGAACAGTAGCATAGCAGAACAGGAAGAATAGCATCACAGCAGAACAGGAAGAACAGCAACACAACACAACAGGAAGAACAGCAGAACACATTTGTTTCAGCAGTTATAAAGAACGAATGACAGCAAATGATAAGAGAGTTTTGTTATCAATATTTTAAGACATCATACGACATGAGGGAAATAGCTTGTAATACTAAAAACAACGTCATCATTATCATCGTCAGTCATCACTATCATCGTCAGTCACCATTATCGCCAGTCATCATTATCCCCAGTCATCATTATCGCCAGTCATCATTATCATCGTCAGTCATTATCGTCAGTCATCATTATCATCGTCAGTCATCATTATCGCCAGTCATCATTATCATCGTCAGTCATCATTATCGCCAGTCATCATTATCATCGTCAGTCATCATTATCGCCAGTCATCGTATCGCCAGTCATCACCATTATCATCGTCAGTCATCATTATCGCCAGTCATCATTATCGCCAGTCATCATTATCGCCAGTCATCGTATCGCCAAGTCATCATTATCGCCAGTCATCATTATCGCCAGTCATCATTAGCATCGTCGATCGTCGTGTCGCCAGTCATCATTATCATCGTCGGTCATCATTATCGCCAGTCATCGTTATCATCGTCGGTCATCATTATCGCCAGTCATCATTATCATCGCCAGTCATCGTATCGCCAGTCATCGTATCATCGCCAGTCATCGTATCATCGTCGGTCATCATTATCGCCGGTCATCATTATCGCCAGTCATCATTATCGCCAGTCATCGTTATCATCGCCAGTCATCATTATGCCAGTCATCATTATCATCGCCAGTCATCGTATCATGATCATCATTATCGCCGATCCATCATTATCATCGCCAGTCATCATTATCGTCAGTCATCGTATATCGCCAGTCATCATTATCGTCCGGTCATCATTATTGCCAGTCATCATTATCATCGTCAGTCATCATTATCGCCAGTCATCATTATCATCGCCAGTCATCATTATCATCGTCAGTCATCATTATCACCAGTCATCATTATCGCCAGTCATCATTATCATCGTCAGTCATCATTATCGCCAGTCATCATCATCGTCAGTCATCATTATCGCCAGTCATAAAGTATTATCGTTACCATCATTGTTATCACCAGTTACCATTAGTCTTTATAAAATGTCTTCATCACATTCATCATTATCATCGTCATCATTAATTACCATCATCATCATTATCAGTTATACTACATCATAACCACTATATGGTAACTTTACCTTAGTGAATACATAAACAGAGTATGTTATTATTTAGTTTATGATAAGACTTTACTTTGAAAAATGAATCACATGCAGAAATCTAATAGAAATTATATACTTCAATACATAATGTTTTGTAGTATGTAATAACGTGGGTTGTGTTGTGAATGCGTATAATATTGTGCTATTTGGTAGGGTCTACTGTACGTGAGTTGTGTTGTACTTGGTGTTGTGTTGTACTTGGTGTTGTGTTGTAGGTGGTGTTGTGTTGCAGGTGGTGTTGTGTTGTAGGTGTTGTGTTGTAGATGATGTGTTGTAGTTGGTGTTGCGTTGTAGGTGGTGTTGTGTTGTAGGTGGTGTTGCGTTGTAGGTGGTGTTGTGTTGTAGTTGGTGTTGTGTTGGGTGGTGTTGTGGTGTTATGCGTCCAGTGTTGTGTTGTAGATGATGTTGCATTATGTAGTTAGTGTTGCGTTGTGGAAATTGGTGTTGCGTTGTAGAGTGGTGTTGTGTTGTAGGTGTTGTGTTGTAGATGATGTGTTGTAGTTGGTGTTGCGTTGTAGGTGGTGTTGTGTTGTAAGGTTGTGTTATGATGTTGTAGTTCAGTTGGTGTTGCGTTGCAGTGGTGTTGCGTTGTAGGTGGTGTTGTGTTGTAGTGGTGTTGTGTTGTGGTGGTGTGTTTGTTTGTGGTGGTGTTGTGTTGTAGGTGGTGCGTGTTATAAGTAGTGTTGTGTTGTAGGTGGTGTTGTGTTACAGGTGGTGCGTGTTATAAGTAGTGTTGTGTTGTAGGTGGTGTTGTGTTGTAGGTGGTGTTGCGTTGTAGGTGGTGTTGCGTTGTAGGTGGTGTTGTGTTGTAGGTGTTGTGTTGTAGATGATGTGTTGTAGTTGGTGTTGTGTTGTAGGTGGTGTTGTGTTGTAGGTGGTGTTGTGTTGTAGGTGGTGTTGTGTTGCAGGTGGTGCGTGTTATAAGTAGTGTTGTGTTGTAGAGTATGTGCTATTTCGTTGTGTTCTTTGAGTCCTATAAAATGACCACGAAATACCCACCCCACCCCCTTCCTATTCACGATAATTACGAATGAACAATCCTTAATAAGTCAGTAATAATAACTATCAACAGCCTTGTAATCTACCAATCACGTTCATAACTATTATTTAAATTGCGAGATATTAACTGATTTCATTTATCTAAGTCATTTTGTCTAGAACAGGTTAATGATGTTGGTAAAAATTGATATGAAACGATTGAAACGAATTTTGGTAGACGTGCATAGTTGGGAGTCAGAGGAATCAGTTAAAGAAGCCAGTCGAAGGAACCAGTCAGTCAACGAAATCAAACCATTCAAAGAGGCCAGTTGTAGGAGCCAGTGGTTAAAGCCAGTCAGGAGCCATTCTGAGCCAGTTAAAACTACCAGTCGTAAGAGCCAGTCGAAGAAGCCAGTCAAAGAAGTCATTCGAGGAAACCAGTCGAAGAAATCAGTTGAAGAATTCCAACCAGTCTAAGAAACCAGTCGTAAGAACCAGTCAAGAAACCAGTCGAAGGAGCTAAAAAGAAACTCTGCGGTTCCTGCCAAGATGATTTTCCTGCCAAGATGATTTGAGTACCTTGGCTTCTTCTAGGGAGGGTCATCGTACACACCCGACCAACCAAGAAACAGGGCGGTGGGCTATGTTGGGTTATCTCTTTGTTTTTGTCGTAATATTTCATCGTTTTGTTTTGTGTATTTCGTTTTTTTTAAATATTTTACTAAACTGAAATTATCCATTAAGTTATTTTTGTCTTGTATACTAACTGGGAGGAATTAGAATTGGAAATATTGAATAAAACATTAAAATAAGATAAGCGTTGTTGTTATTTATATTTTGTCTCTGTATCCCCTCTATTTTTATTTCCCATTTTCTCTTTTATTTTGTGTCTCCTTCGTTTTCTTTTATTATGTATTTTCGGTGTTTGTTGGCCACTGCTACGACTTCTATTTTGTGCTGTGAAATTCTCTCTCCCCTTCTCTTAGGAAACGTCTCTCTGTCTCTCGCGTTCTTTTGGTCCTGTTCCGCGACATCGTTTTCATTAGCTTTCCCCTTTCGTGTTCTAATTACTGGTGACTGGCAAACCTCCACTCCACTCTCACTCTCTCACTCCTTCCTTGGAGGTCCTTCACTCTCTCTCACCAGATCACACTAACTCATTCTTATACTCTCATGTTTCATCTCCACACACACACTATCACGTCTATAGACAGTCATTCACACTCTCACACACACTATTACGAACACACTCACCCTCACTCTCCCCACTCTCCCTGTCTTGTCCCTTCTTCCTTCTACCACACAGCAAGACGTATACAACCCAGCCATAATATTCTTCCGTGTACAGCCAGGGATTTCCCCCCAAGAGTGTCAAACACCCTCCATTCCTCTCACCATATAGTGGACGTAAACACACAAGAAAAAACAATCTAGTCGACACACACACACACACACACACACACACACACACACACACACACACACACACACACACACACACACACACACACACACACCATAACCAGATATACCAGATATAAGACAAAGCTAAAACCCCAGGATGAGGGGTATAGCTGTACTAGCGGCCCCTCCTAAGAGCTAAGGGGCTCGCCTTAAAACCCTAAAATGTTGATCTTGGAGCGTGGGTAAGTTGGCTCCTACACCACTGAGAATGACACGCGGTTCTGTGGCCAAACTTATGGTCACTGCTCCACAGTCTGCTATACAGGCGCAAGTTCAACGTCGTAGACAAGCGATAAGTGCCACTATACCTTGCTACAGTAAGGGTTAGAACTGTGTGGCTGGCAAGAGATGGAGTGACACTAATGATTCCGGATGATTTTTTGCCCTACGAGTCCGTAAGGGAGACGACACCAGGGTTCAGATATTTCGGCTCCGTCCTTGTGATGTGGGTAATAAAGGTCCATAGTAGGTTGGTGGTGATGGTGGGGGTTACGACTGTCTTCACCAGTGAGGGATTTTTATCACTGATCCTTTTAGCTGGCTCCGAAGTGGGCATGTTTATGATGCTGACAAAACTCTTCTCTTTCCTAGACCCGTTTTATTATTTCTTCATTTCCAAAAGCTTTAATTAGTAAGGCAGACTTTCCCCCTCTCCCTGACT